CACACACACACACACCCACACACACTATATCACATAAAATCTCTCTAGGCTACCGACGTCATCTCAATCTCCGCCTCGTCCACATTGTCCAGGAGACTGCGCTGGTCGGGGGTGGGCGGGTGCGACGTCGACGTGACTTTGAGCCAGCTCCATCGGGAGTTCCCGCTGTGCGCTCTCGCTGTCGGCCGCGAAGTTTCCCAGTCGTCCCCTCTGTGCATCGAGATATCGTCGGTATCTTGGTCCTGATAGTAGCGGTTGTAGTATTCCTGGGTAAGTAGATCTTCTTTTTTGGGTTTTCGGAAGCTGAAACCAAAAATAGAAAAGAATTAGCAATCACAAGCTTTAATCAAATATATTGACAGTGTCACGGTCAAACTGTGTGTGACTGGAAGAAACGGGTCAACATTTCTGTGTCTTCTCTCTCCACTTAAATTGGAAGGTGTTTTTAAAAAAAATTAATTGTGAGGCAGCGTGGTGAAATCAGGCGCTTGTCAAAGTACAGGAATTGGAGAAACAGGCATTTTTCCGCCAGTTTGGACATTAAAAAAATTTTTTGTTTGTTTTTTGGCTCAACCTCTTCTATGTCCATATCAAGACACATTTCCATGTGAATTTTACTGAAACACATTGAATAAAAGCACAAAAAACGTCCTTTTTCAGTTTTCAAAGACTCTTTAGTTATTGGATCTACCAAACTTTGGCAGCCATTTTATCGCTAATTTCACCACTGAAACCAGGCTTCCTTCAATCGCAAATATCTTGAGTTCTATTCAAGATAGATGGATATTTATATAATTGAAAACGAGGAAAATAAATCAGCTTTCAGATTATACCAATAACTCCACATTCGCAAAAATTGACGAGCGCCTGATTCCACCGCGTCGTGACATAATTTATATTTTTTTCCTATTTGTGGGTTGTTTTTTCTTAGAGTAGAAATTTTTTAAAGAAATCATGACTGCACAGAAATGGGGTTGGGGGGGAGGGCAGTAAAACCAATAAACAGTTTTCTTTTATCAGTAAAAACATTGCGTACTGAATAGATAGTGCTCAGAGCATGTTAAATGCTACTTGTTATAAACTGTGATTAATGTAAGTATATAAGAAAGCTGTTGTTTTCACATTGTTCATTTCTCATCAGGATCATGGCAACAATAATTTCCCTGGGCAGAATCAAAGCTCGTGGACTCATAAATCTGGTTTGACAGCATAAATTTTCAACTTTCCTTTGAAATAGACATTATCTTTCGTAAGTTATCAGTGATGTGTGGTATGTATGTGTATTGGGTTTACCGTATATAAACATTCTCATGTGGCGATGCAGTGTTTGGCCACCAGTATCATGAAAATGCTAGCCAAAGCATAACCTGACTCAAGAAAACCTTGTGAATCAGTTCATGGTAAGAAGCTGATGAAAGAAAACATCTTGTTTGTTCTGGGCATCTGTTGATCTAATACATGATAATGTCCTTCTTAGACAAAATATGAAATAGCTCACTGTAATTTAAACCTTATTTTAAAGTATAAATTTTCAGTTTTACTTTGAAATAATCCTGTTTAAAAAAAGTTATCAACGATGTCCATCTAGGACAAAGCTTGAAATACAATTGTTGCAGAAACACTTTCTTCATTAAATATTTTTGGCCACAGCTAGCGTTAAAAATGACTTAACAATGTACGATAATTTTAATAAACTAACAAAAACAAAGTCTTTAGGCTAGATTTTTCTTCAGCTCTAGTGTAACAATACAGGATACACACCATCTATGTCTGGGTCAGTAAAATTGTGGAATCCCTCGCATACTAACAGAGTTAATTATTTCAAACAGGTTAGGTTCATTTTGTTCCATAAAAAGCCAAAATTATTACCATAGTATTTTCTCTGAAGAACCACACTGCTTCTGAGTCTACTCTATATGTTAGTCAATTTAGATATAATAATACACACGAAAATAACTGAAAATAGAAAAAGCCCAATACTTTGTATGTTGTACCTAAATTAAAACTTTTAACCATGAAACAAAATGATCAAGTCTGGGTCAAAAGAAAAGACTGGAATAAGCTGTACTAAACCAAAACCTGGTCTTCATGTACATGAACAAAACCCAACAGGGCAACATGAAGACAGAAGACAAACAAGCAACATTTCACGGGAAACACAGCAATCAAAAACTTTCTTCAAAGCCTTCATCCCTAAAAAGCTTTTTCTATTGCCATGAACAAAATTTTAAAGAAAACTAAAAAAACCTTTCCACACAACAATTCAGCAATGTTCTACCATTTGTGCTTTTTTTTATCATCTCCTCTGTATATTTTGTTAAAAACCCATATTTAGTAGAAAGAAAAATATTTTCAAGTATTAACCATGTAAAAAAAAGTTACCATTTAAGAAATTTCAGCAACAACCAACATTAAACAGAGACCACAGAGAGAGGCGGAGAGAGATAATCTGGGAAAAAAATGCTTGTTGCTGTCAAAATAGCTGGAAGCAGACAACAAGGAATTGACAAATTTTACCATAACCAGAGAAAAAATGACAGATGATACTTAGCAAGGCATAAAACAACAATGAATGATCGTATGAGAGGCAAGTACCCAACTGTCTATGTACATCTCTCCAAAAATTCCCTTTTCTAAATTTGTGGACAAAGAAAGGATTACCTACACTGACCTTTCAACTTCATTTTGAAAGAAATTAAAGAAATCAGCATGTCTAGGCAGGAATATAACACTCAGAAAAAGTGAAATCATATGTTGAGGACTATGCAAATAAAACACAAAAGCACTGGTGTAAATAAATCCCCTTTCTATAACCACACACAATGAATGCTGAAAACAATACTTTCAAAAGTAACAGACAGACTTGGGATGTGGGAGATGCATAGAAAGACAAGTGGATGTGATACTTTGAGAGACAGAAAGAGGGAGTCGTAGGAAGTAGAGACAGGAAGACAGGAAAGGGGTATGAGCAAGGGATGACATAGAAGCTTTGTCATACACATATTTTTCAGCTTGCTGAATAACTTTTGATTGGGCCAAATGAACAAAAGGTCTTATCCAATTCAGTAATGTCTGTGTGAATGAGTTTGCTAAAAGTGAAAGTTTAGTATCAGCGCAAAGTGCCATGGTTCGGATCATCTGATAGTCGAGGTACCCTTGTTCATACATTTTACAATCAATGATAAATCACCCTAATTTTCTACAGCAAGCTGAAGCAACGAATGCGATATCCCCCAGGGATAGCTAAACCACTAAATGAGACCTGAGCTAAGATTTCTATTCAAGATTAGTCAAACAGCTACCTTTATCCTTGACCTTGAGTGTGAATGTGAAGACAAAGTTAGAATTCAAAGACATCTTGCATTTTGCATAGACAAGTACACACACAAGACAAAAGCTAGCAATATTGCATGATCATACCTCATCTATTGCATATAAATCTCTGTCAGTTTTTTTTATTTATTTAAATTGTAGATTGCTATACTTTTTGCAGAACTAAAAAAAAATCAGGGAAAGGGTTCAGAAAAGCACCAAATACAAATAGAGATTCTGCCAATTCCATTTTATTTGCGAATGATGAGAACTTGAGCTGCTTCAAAAAGTAAGGTATGATCTTGGTCAATAAGGTTTCTTTATATGGAAAAAAAAAATCTTGCCGTTTCAAAAAGTACACTGGACTATCATTCATTTCTGAAAGGGCACAGGTTGAAGGAATGGAAAACTAAGGTCAAACTTGTAATAAACTGGAAAATTCTCTTAAACTCTTCATCTCCTTCTCCAACACTTGATTTGGTTCAAGATTAAGGCTGTCCCTTTGACATAATAAAAGAGCCAAGCTCCTGACAGACCGAGTTGGGGAAAGCAAACACAGAAGGTAGCAAATCACCTGAGGTTTCATGAATTAGAGAACTGGAAATGCTGATGCCAGAAGAGAAGCCAGCAAGCTGTGCACATCCACATGTGCAAATGAAGCTTTTAAATGTTAATAATGTGACAAACTCTTCACTGCCAGACTCAGTTTCATGGACTATAGCAGAAGACACAAGTCATCTTGATCCCTATTTCTTCTAATACTCTTAACCCTTTGAGCCCTTGCCACCAGTATACCTGTGGCACGTAAAACTGCCCATATGGCCAGCCATGGGTACGTGGTGAGCAAGACCATATCCCCAAACCAGCCCACCTGGGACAAAACACGCACAAGAAACCTTGTTTACTACACAGGATGTTACTGACCAATTTGAAGATCTTTCTGAATTAGATGCTAGTAATGATGAGGACTACCATGAGTGGGATATGGAATGTGATTTAGACGATCACATGAATGTTAATAGTATATCTCTTTAAAGCTCAGGCAGAGAGGCACGGTAGCATCAGGGGGTCAGGGCTCAAAGAGTTCAGATATAATTTTCTCTGCAGATGTATTGTTCATTATTAGACATTGACCGATGAGCTATTATTATAGGACTGGTCACTATGGTGTTTTGACAGTCTCAAATCTTTATCTTCCACGCTTAGACTATTCTACAGGGATATTTTATTTAAGACGTCAGTGTTTCAAACTTCTACATCAAGAAGAATATTTTTCACTTCTCATAATTTCATTACCCAGACAAAAAATATCTATTATCAATCTTTATCATCCATCTCAACACAAGACACCAAGCTCACTTCACAAAGAAGCTGCACACACACATGTATAGATAGCTCAAACGAGCACTGAAAGCGCTGAAAAAATGGATACAGAAAAATTTTAAGCTTATTAACAGTCACATCGTGCATTTTCAAAAGAGAAATGAGAAATAATGTGACATCTGCACAAAAGACACATCTGACAAAGTAAACTTACGTTCTCAGAAGCAGCGACGCACTGACCACTGACACTGAAGACATTGCCATGGCAGCTGAAGCCATCCAGGGCCGGAGCGAGATTCCCAGGGGCGTGAAAACACCTGATGGATTGAACCAACAAAGTAATCAAAGTGGGGAAAAGACTCACTTGTTACTGCCAATTTTGACAGCATCCTTCCTGAACATCACTTTATGAAGTAAATCATAGCCACTCTTCTCTACAAAGAGTTACGCAAAAGCAGAATAAAACCTAAAAATGTCAAGAACCTAAAATGTTTCCATAGACTTGAAAAAAATGTCATTGACCCCAATGGTACAACTTCAAACTACCAATGGGCAGGCAAGGGATACACAGGACTATAACCAACAGAATAGACACTCTACTTGAGCTTCTAAAGCTGTTGAAGCCAACACTTTCAAAAGATCAAATCGCCTGCTCATTGTAAGATTTCTTCAATCCTCGCTTTTCATAGAGGTGTATAGCCGAGTCTTAAACAAAACAGTCAACAATGCAATCACACAATCAATAAGTTAATGTCACAACAGTCCAGATTTTTTTTAAAATCAACTGTTTTCTCAGATCAAAGAGAAAAAAAAAAATTGCACCACTCGGAGCTATTGACTCTACTTAAATGTAAGAACACGTATAATAATCACTTAAGTAATGATTTTATACACAGACTTATAAACGTAGGCACTTTTGATAAGTGATGTATTTTAACTCTTTGAACCCGAAAGACCAATATTTCGGTCTGGGCCCTCGATCTTTGTACCCCAAATGCCTGACATATCAATGTTCCACCAATACCGTGAACTCAACCGTCCGTATAAGCTCGTGAATCAGGAACCCAGGGGAACTAGTTCAATCAGTGTCAGGACCTCATGGGGTCAAAGAAAGGGTCAAGTCCCTTACCTGCAGCAATGGGTATCCCCAGGATGTTGTAGATGCATGCAGACAGAAAGTTGAGCTGTATCCGCCTCACCGTTTTCTTTGACAATTTAATCGCGGCATATACGTCCAACAAGTCATTCTGGTGAGGAAAACATAAAATAAAAACAAAGAGAACAATGAGTACAAAATAAAAACAAAGAGTGCCTGAGTACAGCCTAGACAGCTGAGCTACATAATAATAAGGACAATTTATATATTCAAAATAGGTTCTTTTTTAGTTCAGTTTTACATTGTAAGCTCAATTTAGCTCACTTGGTATTTTGACAAAACATTTATAGACACAATATAATAGTACTGAATTTCTTGTGACACTTCAGCGGTGAGCCCTTCGATGCAGAGAAATCAAGAGTACTAAAAATACAGTTTTGGAAAAAATTAATAAATTAAATATGGTCAGATCAGACCAGATTAGGCTCAAAGTCATTCATGAAAAATTTGTTTTAGCAATACAAAAAAGTTGCAAAAAAATATTTTAAAACCAAAAAACCAACCAAAAAACAAAACAAAATCACCCAAAACTTACTGCACGTACATAAACATTTGCATTAACATTTCCAATTAATATTTCAAAAGACGACATAAGATCGCAAACACATTTGAAAGAACTCAGAACCTTGATGAGGACGATGTCTGCTGCCTCCACGGCCACATCTGTTCCCGTGCCGATGGCGATTCCCACGTCCGCCTGAGCCAGGGCCGGCGAGTCGTTGACCCCGTCACCCACCATTGCCACCTTGAGGCCCATGGCCTGGAGATGCTTGATCTTCTTCACTTTGTGGGAGGGCAGCACCTCTGCGAAGACTTTGCTGATGCCCACCTGCAGGTGATGGAATTCATGAGTAAACAGTTTAATCAGTTTTGAACACCACATTTTAAATGTGCAATAGTTTAAAACCTGGGCAATATTGCCTCTGATTTGGTAACTTTGGAAGGGACCATCTGGGTAGTGACAGGTTTCATTTACTCAACTGCCCTGCTTACAGGTGACAGGTTTCATTTACTCAACTGCCCTGCTTACAGGTGACAAGTTTCATTTACTCAACTGCCCTGCTTACAGGTGACAGGTTTCATTCACTCAACTGCCCTGATTACAAGTACATTTTACATTTTAAAGTGGCAAAAGTGGGCGCTGGTTATACAAAAGTTGACAAGCACTGGTTTAAAAGTGTGCGCAGAAAGCACAGAGCAGAGCTTCAACTCTGATTAAGAATGGAAAAGCTTTTCAGAAGTTCAAACAGTGACCAACCTGCTTGGCAATAGCCCTGGCTGTCTTCTGATTGTCCCCTGTGAGGAGGATGACCTCTAGGCCCATCTTGCGTAGTTCATGAACAGCCAAGTGAGCCTCAGACTTGACTGTGTCAGCCACAGCAAGCATGCCCACAACGTTACCTAGAGCACAGAAATAATAACAGATGCGATTTTAATTAGTATATGACAGGTTGTTTCACATTTATACACAGCCTGTCTAGTCATCCAACTTTACACCATCAGAAACTTCCCTGTTACTCCGCCCTTATCAAAGCTATCTGCCAAAAACAACCCAAAACTGAAAAGAAATTAATGATCCATGCAATAAATATTGTCTGATTACAGATAGAAAAGATTTGCTAGAGTTTTGTAGATTTATATTATAACCGTAAAAAACAAAGGCTGAGTCCAAATAGATAACAATGACACACTAACCAATAGGAAATCCCCACAATTTAAGTTGGTCAATAGGTCCCATCTATTGATTTCAACAGTCTAAAAACTCACACAATAACAAATAAAAACCCCACACCAACTAACAAAGGAACAATATAAAACCTTATACTGAATCTCACAATCATCAACAAGAAGGAAACAGAAAACACCTTAACATTCATTTGCTCGCATGGTGTACACCTAAGTCTTTACAAAAAAAGTTCAGAGACAATTCTTATATCATATTAAAGAGCTTAAAAAAAAGTTCTCGAAAGGAGAGAATGCATAAAAAAAGAAGCACACTGGACGTACATAACAATCAATCCTGAAAAGAAAGTTTTATTTTGAACTCCTAGAGGGAGGGCTCACAATACTGTGGCTGAGAAGTCCAACTTCCATACCGTGCAAATTGAATCATAAAGTAACAGATTCAACGATTTCCAAGGGGGAGAAAAGTGACACTTCACCTGTTATACCCCCAAATTCAATATAAGAATGAAGTGAAGGTCACTGAGCTGCATCATACAAGTCAATATGATACGAGCAACAAGTTGCCACTAAAAATCCCGAATAATTCTAAGAATGAAAGAAAAAAGCCGCACAAACCGTCAACAGCACACAGAACGGCTGTATGGCCCTGCATCTCATGCTCTGTCATTACATCATCCATAGTGTTGGTGACGATCAGCCCATTTCGATTCATCCACTCACGATTCCCAATCAACACTTCATAACTCTCACTAGCCGCGGCACCAATTGGCATATCTGGGGGGGAAAAAAAACAAAAAAAGCAAAGTCAAGATTGTCAAGGCAGAAATAAGTAAAATAAACTTTCATTAATATCTCTTCTTTATCACTTCTCCTATGCAAAGCACCAGCACTCCTCCTCATCACATGAAAGGTACTTAATTGAACTTGCTCCAACAGCTACCTGTCCAAGTCAATCACCTGTACAAACGGCATCTTCCCACTTTCCCCCTTGATTAAAAAAATATAATGCTGACACTGTCCAAGATGTCCACATGTCTCAAGACAACCACTTTTCTCCTCAACAGTTGGTGGCTGTCTAGGTGAATTTCAATCACTTCACATTCACATGTCAACATCTGAACAGTAAATGTCCAACTTCCAGGCTTCATGAGCAAGTGGGAAATATATAACTAAATTTTTCATAGTATAATTACTTTTCAGCTAAGTGCACACTGCAAACCGTCTTGTGCTACTCCATTTTCCAAACCTTTCTGATAAATAAAGTTGAGCTAACAAAACAACAAACAACACCCCCCCCCCCCCCCCTACACAAAAAACCAAAACAATCCCCCTGTAAAATAAAAGGAAAACCCCCACCCCCCTCCCCTCCCCCCCCAACCCCACACACACACACAAATTACAAATATAACCTTACCAAAGTTGGTTCCCGAGTCCTGCTCTCCATAGACCAGATTGTCTGTCCTGATGGTCTGACTGCCGGCCCTGTTCTTGCGGCTGTTGACGGCGTTCGAGTCGGTGCGAGAGAGTAAGCCTTCAATGTGTGACACCTTGCACTTGATGCCACAGCCTGGGACGGCAGAGAACTCGGACACTTTGCCCATGCTCTCAGCACCGAGAGTCTGAGAACATTTAGTGAGGGAATAAAAGAGTAATGCTGGGGTTTTATTGCCTGTAAACATTTGATTGACATTCACAAAAATAAACCCATGGGGTTAGGCCGACACCCTAAACATATAAACTAAGAAGACAAAATGAAGAAAATCGTAAAAATACTTATAATGCACCTTGTCCCACTCAATGACAATATACTGTGTTGTACTGAAATATATAAACAAGCATGAGTCTTACACTAACAAGCAAACAACTTTTTGTTCTGTCTGTACAGGTGCCATCTAAAAAAAGCCGATAAATCTTTCCCCAATTTCCACTAATGGTACTGATAAAATTTTAGCTCTGTTGATCAAAAAATGAAAGGAAAGAAACATAGCCTACTGTATATACTACTCTATAACAAAACCTTATGTTTAAATACAGCTACAATACTTTTGACTCCAAAATCCGTCAATTTTTATAATTTGCACCTGTAATACAGGGTGAATTTCTGACATACTGGAAGGGGCTCAACATGAGCGAAATACTAGACATAAAATATGTTGTTGCGTAATGATAGATTTGACTTGTAAAAATCCTATTAGGAATTACTTGCCCTTTGTTTGGCCTGATCCTGGTAGGATGTCACATGTATAATGCAGGGTACACTTTTCCATTTCACTTTTGAAAAAAATTGCACATATTATAAGTGAGTATATACAAAAAGTCCAAAAAATTTGGCGCAACAATGCTACCTTTTCTCTCTCTTGTAATGTAATGCCAAATAATGATTGGAAGAAAATTACCTCTTTGACATATTTGAGGATGGCCGAGGCAATAGGATGCTCGCTGCTCGTCTCAGCGGTGCCAGCAATAGCCAGGAACTTGATGAAGGAGCAGGTGGAGTCCCTGACAAACATGGACACTCGTGAGACTCGCGGTACGCCGTGTGTCACTGTTCCAGTTTTGTCAAATACGACGGTTTGAAGCTGATGAAACAATAATTTGAGTTTTAGTTTTAGTTAAAGTTTTACAGATCTTGAAACACAAATACGTCATTCAAGTGTTGAAAATTAGAGGTATTACTAGAAAGCAACAAAAGAAGGAGGAGAGGTAAAGACGATAGATCACAGATGCTTGAAGGGAAAAAAGGAGCAAACCACACTTCAGCCACACATGAAACATTTTGAAGATTATTTGCGCAAAGATCAGCACTTTAATACAACAATGGTAGCGTAGTGAAGGGAAAGAGCTTGAGTAACAAAGGACAATTGATGTCGAACACTGGCAGTAGTTTAGTGCAGGAAAAGAGCAAGACAGTAAGACAGACACACAGACACATCACAGTGAAAGAAAGAAAGTAGGGAAAAGGCTATTCAATCGATATACTCAACTAGGTTTGAGTTTTTGTGTTCAAGTAGAATCTAATTTATGGGGAAAATACTAAAACATCCAAATTCGCACAGAAAAGATGAGGACAGCTTTCTTTGCCCTCAATAATAATAATGATATTTATGGTAATCCTCAAGAACTAGGCTTGACTGTTCGTATCTTTCCCTTTGACTAAGGCCACTGTTAACAGTACATAATTATCCTGAACCAGCAGCTCAGAAAACAATATTAAGAAGAGATCAAATCTTAGTCCTGATGACTACTGTCTAACTTTTTCCTGTTCAAATCAGCAAAAAAAAAGCATCACAAGAGTTCAATGTGGCTGAAACACATCTAGTTTCTCCCATGTAATTTCCTCAAGTCAGGCTACAATAAAATCACTGACAGTAATCTAAAATATCTTTTATAGGCTTTGAAAATAGTAATTTGACTACACAACTCATAATGAAGGACAGCATTTGAATGAATCTGTGGTGAAGTATCATGGCTGCAGATTCATTATTAAGCTCACAATGACTAAAGCAAGTTAAGAACCTTGTGTGCTGGATGGACATCGCCCCCTCCGACAATTTGGCATGGCATTCATTGATGGATATTTCTTATTTCTACCTTATGTGTGAGCTCCAGTGGTTCTCCTCCCTTGATGAGGATTCCATTGACAGCTCCGACCCCCGTGCCCACCATGACCGCTGTGGGAGTGGCCAGTCCGAGGGCACAGGGACAGGCAATGCTTAGCACAGTGATGGCGTACTGGAACGCTTTCTGGAAGATGATCTCCGAGGCTGGGGTGGGTCCAGTGGGCTGTAGTTCATGTGGACGAATAGTTTGTTTGAGGAAAGAGAAGCCCATCGACACAGCAGCGGTCATTTAGTGCCAGAAAAAAACAGTCAGACAGACAGGAACAACAAATGGAAAGAAAAGATGTAGAACAAAATTTACTGTTTATGAACTTTATGTCTATGGTACATGATGAGCTGACATACAAAATTTAAAAACAAATACAAATATACATTACATACAATGTTACAGACACTTAAAGTACAAAAA